ATCATTCGTCTTAAAGCTGGAGACCAATACTTACTAGGCCTAGTTGACACAGGAGCCGAGATCAACTTAATCACTGAACAGGCAGTGAGACGAGCAAAGTTACCAATGATGGACCTTCGGACCCCCACTCGCGTCAGCTTAGCGCTCAATGATGACTCTCGTGCTCCGTTAATTCTCAAGCAGTTCACTCGAGGCACGTTAATGGAACCACACTCGGACGTGGAATTCAGCAATGTGGAACTTAGTATAGGAGCTATTGCTGGGAATTACGACTTGATACTTGGAGTCCCTTTTCTATCTCATTTTCATCTTTCTGTCTCTATCTCACAACATAGCTTACTCTGCGACAAAACTGGTCAAAGTGTATTGGATTATAGAACCATTGATGCAATGATACCAAAAAAGGTTGCTTCCACTTCGATTAGGGACAACTCAAATTACCCCAGTGAGAAATCAGAAGAGACAGTGCTTAAGGAATTCTCCGATCTATTCCCAGCAGACATTCCAGCAGTTTCTGATGAGGCAGAGTTGTCTGGACTATTCAAAGATGGTTCTTTTCCTGAAAGAATGCAAAAGGAGGATTCAAAGGTGCGACACAAAATCGTACTGACGGACCCCAATGCTCAGATCAATGAACGCCAATACTCCTACCCGCAAAAATATATGACGGCGTGGCGCAAACTTTTGGATCAACACATTGAAGCAGGCAGGATTCGTCGATCATCTAGTCAATATGCTTCACCAAGCATGATCATTCCAAAAAAGGATCCGACAGCACTTCCACGTTGGGTTTGCGACTACAGGACACTTAACAGTTTTACAGTCAAAGACCGCTCACCACTTCCAAATGTAGATGAACTGGTACGTATGGTAGCAACGGGGAAGGTGTTCTCCATTTTGGATCAAACAAACGCTTTTTTTCAGACTCGAATGCGAGAGGCAGACATCCCTCTCACCGCGGTCAAGACTCCATGGGGACTGATGGAGTGGGTGGTCATGCCTATGGGTCTAACGAACGCACCAGCAACTCACCAAGCGCGATTAGAGGAGGCGCTCGGGGAACTTATCAACACCATATGTGTGGTCTATCTTGACGACATCGTGGTCTTCTCAGATTCATTTTTGGAACATGAGAAACATGTTCGTCAAGTGCTCCAACGACTTCGTTCAGCAAATTTGTACTGCAGCCCTAAGAAGACGCAACTCTTTCGACATCGAATCAAATTCCTGGGACATTGGATATCAGCAGACGGCATACAGGCGGATAACGAGAAAATTGCACAGATTCTAGATTGGAAGTCACCATCGTCAGCTAAGGGGGTAAAGAAGTTTTTAGGAACAGTACAGTGGATGAAGAAGTTCATTTGGGGATTACAGAAGTACGTGGGAACACTCACACCACTGACAAGTAGCAAGTTGGCGCCAAAGGATTTCCACTGGGGACCAGCGGAAGAAAAAGCCTTCGAAAATATCAAGAGGATTATGACGTCACTTCCGTGTTTGAAGAATGTTGATTACGAATCGGACGACCCACTTTGGCTTTTTACGGACGCTAGTGGCTCCGGACTGGGAGCAGCATTGTTCCAGGGCAAGGATTGGAAGGTTGCTTCGCCGATCGCTTACGAGTCACACCTGATGACGCCAGCGGAACGTAATTACCCAGTTCATGAGCAGGAACTGCTAGCGGTGATTCATGCTCTTCAAAAATGGAAGATGTTACTCCTCGGGATGAAAGTCAACGTCATGACAGACCACCACTCATTAACGTATCTCTTGAAACAACGGAGCCTCAGTCGGCGACAAGCAAGATGGCTAGAAATCCTTTCTGACTTCGACATCCACTTTGAGTACATAAAAGGTGAAGATAATTCAGTTGCGGATGCACTTTCAAGAAAAGAGACCCGGGAAGAAGATCGGGATATTACGCAAGCAGACATTGCATGCGTAGCTGCGCTCACGGAATTAGGCAGCACACTATCTGATTCAATACATACCAAAATCATTTCAGGCTATGAGGAGGACTCTTTTTGCAAGTCGGTGAAGAAGGTACTACCACTGAGGGAAGACTGTGCGGAAGTAGAGGGACTCCTATTTATCGATGGCCGGCTGGTTATCCCTGACAATGGGGACCTACGCCGCAATCTGATCAATGAGACTCATATTCGCCTCGGGCATCTGGGCTATTTGAAGACACTGGTTGAACTCCGCCGCGATTTTTTTTGGCCCCAGATGGCGAAGCAAGTGGCAAAATTTGTGCAATCATGCGAGACATGTCAGAAGACCAAAGCTCCCACCACAGCCCCAACAGGAAAAATGTTGACACCATCGTTCCCCAGGACGCCACTATCAGATCTGGCAATCGATTTTGTAGGCCCATTGAAGACATCAAATCATTACGACATGATTCTAACTTGTACGTGTCGACTGTCAGGTTTTACTAGAATAATACCATGCCTTCAGACAGACACAGCGGAACGTTCGGCAAGCCGTCTGTTCAATGGATGGCTAGCACTCTTTGGAGCACCTCAATCAATCCTGAGTGACAGAGATAAGACCTGGACGTCCCACTTTTGGAAAGCATTGATGGAAAAACTACATATCAAATTCCACATGACAACCTCGTTCCACCCTCAAGCCGACGGAAGGAGTGAGAGAACTAACAAGACAGTTGGTCAGATTCTTCGGTCATTCACAGCCAAACGACAAGGGAAATGGTTGGAAGCACTCCCAGCAGTCGAATTTGCCATCAATTCAGCGGTCAATGTATCTACAGGTTACAGCCCATTTGAACTGATATTTGGACGCAAGCCTCAGCTGTTCCCTTCCTCCGAATCCTTGATTGAAGCACCCCTGAAACTAACAGATTGGACCAAACGCCGCGAAATGGCCTGGCAGGACGCGCGAGATGCTTTGTGGACTAGCCGAGTCAAACAAGCAGTCCAACACAACAAGCATACTAAGGATCGGCCACCACTAACGCCAGATTCGTGGGCACTCCTTGATTCAGCGGATTGGAGAGGACGACACCAGAGCGGAGTGGATAAGCTTAAGGAACGTTTTGAAGGTCCATACCGTGTCTTACAAGTAAGCAATCATGGACAAGATGTAGTACTCGAACTTCCGGAGGGCGACCGTCGACACCCAACCTTTCACATTTCAAAGCTGAAACCTTTCCATATTCCAGAGGATGGCGAACATGTGGAGTCATGGAAGACCTCTGCAACCAATGGACTCATCAATCAATAACTCAAGACTTCCTTCTATATTAACCAACATTCTTCAACACTCCCTACCTTCTGGCCCCAACAATTCCCCCCCCTTTCTTTCCTTTTTTTTTTTTTTTTTCTTTCTCTTCTTCCTTTTCCTCTCTCTCTTTTCCTCTCCTTCTCTTTTATCTTCTTCATTTGAAAGAAAAAAAAAAAAAAAAAAAAAAAAAAAAAAAAAAAAAAAAAAAAAAAAAAAAAAACAATTCTTTTGATATCTTGATGTTTCCTCATTTCGCTCATTCTCCATTCGCATTATAGGGGGGGAGAATGTGAAACCCCGCCACACACAGGTTTCACAAATCAATCTTAGAGGCTTACATAATCACCCCAACTCATTACATCCTTATAAACTAATCAGCTCCACCCCTGCCTAGCTCGGTAGAGAACTCCGGCCTTATTCTTCTACCGAGCTAGGTGAGTAAAACCATTTTCACATTTCTTTCTCTTTTCATTTAATCATGTTTTCTTTCCCTTTTTCTCCTCTCTCATCAGATTCTAATTGTTGAAGTTGTACTGAGAGAACTCCGGCCTTATTCTTCTACCGAGCTAGCTCTTTGAAATACATCAGATTCAGGTTCTAGAAAAGTTCTCTCCAGGCCAATTGCCTGTCTCGACGTCGTATTAGCTCAGATAGTGAAGAGTCAAGACGTGACTCTTACACAAAGTTGTAGCCTGCTGTCTCAGCTTTCTTCAAAAAAAATCATGTCTCTTGCTTCCCTAAACAGTGGTGAAGCTCTCTTCCTCTTGAGCGCTGTCCTGATCTTTGTGAAGTAACAGAATTTGAAATATTTTGAGCTTTCAGATCCTGAAAAACTGATTAAAATATTTTGAATTGGCTTGAATAGGCTCTGGCAGTACACACTTTGAAAATTCTGAGACAATCACAGTATACAAGGATAATATGTTAATTCAAGTTATGTTTTTATGACCAGATATGTCCAAAAGAATATCCGGCCATGCTCAAGGCGGATTGCTCTCATAAAATTTCCAAATCATATGTTTTACAGGGCATTTCTTGTCAGGGAGTATGGATATTCAAACATTTGAAGTGGGTAGAAATAAGCTCAGAATCATACTATTTTAATGGTGAAACCCTGTGGATGAGAATCATACTGGAATAGGGTAGTACTAGTCGGTATAGATGAGGGGAACACTCTTCCTGCCATTTGGCTGGAGTTTGTAGGGGTAGACATGCCACTTTGAATGCAAGTCCCTCCTTTGGAGATTGCTGGCGCAACCTCCTTCGGAGGGACTTGTGTAAGTTTGTGATTATCCTTTCCACATCTCATGCCTGTCCCAGTGGACCTCATCATAACCTTGATTTTTGTATATCTTTTTCTACTGCAAAAACTTGTTTGGTTCTAGCAGAAAACTTAGTTCATGATTTTTAACTGAGGAAATTTCACGACAAGAGCTGAGAAGGGATGAAGTGACCGGTGACAAAAATCTCCAAAGAGAGAGAGAACAAGGTCAAGAGGGCCTCTTTTGAGGGCTTATAGGCTGCTAGGTCTGGTTGTTGGCGCCACATTTGGAAAAGGGCGCGCCCTCGGGCGCGCCTTTCGGCGCCGAAAGATGGCGCCCCGGGCGCGCCGGGGCGCCATTACCGGTGTGTTTTTAAGGAGAGAGAAAATTAGAATTGTGGTTTTTATTTGATGAAAGAGAAGGTTTTTTTCTTGAGATTATTGATTCTATGTACATTGGATAAAATGTGGAAAAAAATATATGAGAATCAAATCATGAGACCCAGAGATCTTCTGGATCCCAGTCGGATGCATCAGACTTGTTGCCTTCAATTGCATCGATGTTGATAACGTCGTCGTCAGGCTGGTCAGGAGTAGATTCAATCAAGTCGAAGTCGAAGATTGTGTCCATGAACGCATCTTCTCTTGAAGTTAGTGTAGTGAGCTGGTTCTCTGTAAAGATGCCATCTTCAAAGACCTCAAGTTCGGCTGGCGTGATGAAAGAATCATAAGCCTTCATGTTTTCATATTCCAAGTCTTCTTGGGTTGAATTCGAAGAAGTCCTCTGATTGTTTCTTCTAGCGGCTAGTAAGGGGTCACCTTGAAGAAGATGGAGCTAATAGGAGCTAGGAAGTACACCGGAGGGAATGATTACAGTAAGGAGCTCGATCTTTTTGAATTTAACTCTGACCATGGACTGGCGGCTGGCTGGCTGGCTTTGGTGTCCAAGCCCTGCCTAAGCCTTTCAAACTGTCAGCCACAGAGCACCTTTCACAATACGTGAAATGTACCTAGTAACTGCAATAATAATAACAAATTGAATACTGGAAAATATCATACATTGTTGTTAAAATAATAAATAAATAAATATGTATTTACATTTAATCTTAATTCATAATTTATATTTAATAATTCTATAATTAACTGTGAAATCCCCTTGAGTATTGTACATATAATATCACTAGGATTTCACAGAAATATCATTAGAATAAAGTATTAAAACAATGTTTATTCTTATACATTATGTACATATTTTATAAGCCATAAATAATTACATATGTATAAAGAATCAGCTAGTAGAAGCGTGAAATGGATGAGGAATAAGCTATATACATTTATCTGAAGCTTACCCATCCTTGATCACATCATCAGGGCATCAGATTGCATCATATCCCTCTTGGATGGCGTCATCAGGACCCTTTTGTGCTCTAATTCAAAGCTTGCATAATTCAAAGTAGCCTACACGGGAAAGGAGCCCAAATTCTACATGCAAGACTGAATTATGCATGAAGGACATGCATTTCTCATGATCACAAGCTTGCATAAGCAGAGTTACACGTATGCAACCAACTCTACAACTGCACAGCCCCTGCACAGTAACTGTAGCTTTTCAATTACGTGAGAAATAGGCCACAAAACTGAATTATACATGTATGATCTCATGTCCTAGGACCTTCCACCCATGCATAGCACTGCACAGCTGCAGCTCCCATCCTTACACGAAATTGTAGAGCTGCTAAGAAGCTCCCTAGTGCCCTGAGGGCCTCTCCTCTTCCCCTGAGCCCCCTGTAGAATATTTAAGGAGCTCAGATTCCTACCTTTTCCCCCCAGGAAATTCTAGTAGCATCTAACCAACACTTGTACCGTGATTATTAGTGATTCAACCCACCAATAACCTTACAATCCAGCTACCTTAGACCTAAATAGATTTACTTTGCTCAGATTCAAGGCATTTCTACTTATCTCTATTGCATAAAGAATTATCCCCCTGGTTAAACAATTCTGGTCCTTAAGTGTACATACACTTATTCATCTGGATTGTTGTTAAAAGACTTATCCCAAGTGAGTTGAAGAAGTCCTCACCTTGGAAGCCTATTAATCCATGCAAGAGGATTGATCTGGATGCCCAATTGAATAATTGGATGAGTCAGCAGTAGAAGTACCATTCCTCACTGACTCCTCCCTGTTTCTTTTACAGGTTGAGGGATTTAACCACGAATAAACCTTCTCAATTACTCTTCTTGTTAACACTCAGAGCACAACCCTTACAGGTTAGTAGCATAGAGGCTGACACAAACCCATCTACTGTCTACATCTTTGATTCTTGGATCTTCTCACATAGTTCCCCCTGTCATTCCCATCAATACTGGCAGTCTGGCATTCCCAGGGGCCACACATGAGCAGATTGCTCAATGTCTCCTCGCTCTGAAGGCTACCCTGAAAAAGTTAGGGTTAAAGGTGCGCGCCCTACCCCTTTTTTGGGAAAAAGGGCGCGCCTGGGTGCGCGGGTGCGGGGCGGGCGCACTTTGGCGCGCACCTGCCACTGGCGCCGACAACCAGACTGCTAGGGTGTGGGTTGGAAAAGCAACCTTACTACAAGAGACTGAATGAGTAGTCTCAGGGAACAGGCGCAGAGAACTGATGACTTTTCATTTTCTAACTCAAGTATGGCTATTTTATCTAATTACAAATTTGGGCTGAGCTATGGGACAGAAGGTGAAAAGGATGAATATTCATCTGGAACTGGAAAAGGAGTGACAGATGGCAAAGGAGTGACACTGATGTGAAAGAGAGTCAAGAAGGAGACAACAGAATTCCAACATGAAATTTGATTTGCAAATTTGGCAGAGAGGCACAAGATTAGGGTTGACGGCACCATGTTTGAAAAAGTGCACGCCCAGGGGCGCCTTCCCAGTGGCCTCAAGCTGGCGCCTTTGGCTGGGGGCGCCATGGGGCGCCGGGCACCAATTGATTTTGTGTTATTTTTGAAATGCAGGCAAAGCTTGTAGGACTTGGTGAAAATCTGGTCCAAAAAAAATTCAACCTCTGACTTCTAAAGCTACCAAGTCTGCACAGTTTTGCCCACAACTCTACATGTTTCTTCCCCAGGCTGTCAGGAGACCGTCTGACAGCCTCTCTTTTTTTGCCAAGTACAGGGGCCAACTCTCATGAACCTTCCCATGAAATCCTCCCAGGCTCCCTGTAGAAATTAGGGTTAGGAAGGTGCGCGCCCACCCCAATTTTCAAAATTTTGGGGGTGCCAGGTGCGCGCACCCGGCGCCCGGCGCCTCGGACTTGTCCTTGGCGCCGTCAACCCTACTCAAGATCAATCTCAGTATAAGCATACTTTGTGCCTTCAAAATGAGAGTTTCCATTTTTTTCTTCATCTTCTTTAAAAAAGATTGGTATGGAAATACAATAAGGAAATACAAAAAAAATCTGCAAAATACCAGAGAGCAAGAAAAACACTTCAATGAAATTTTGAGAAGAATGACATGGAAGCCAGATGTGAAAGTACAAAAACAGGCCTCAAGATCCCATCTTGCTCAGGCCAATCTGCTGCTTTTATGCATAAGCCTCTCTGGTGAGACTGGGCTGCCGCCCAGACCTACCCACACAGCACTCTCACCACAAGAGGCATCTTGAAGCTCAAATTTGCCAATGGCATGAGCCAACTGGCAATTTGCCAAGCAAAAAAAAACAAAAACAACGCAACCGCCCTGTAGTCAAGGACTCACCCATGCGGATGCCTGCCCGTCAGTCATCGGGCAGGATCCCGGTCGGGTGACCGTTTTGACCCGATAGCCAGACCGCCGCAGGGATTTCTGCATGCCTAAGCCTTGCAGCAGTTTGACCGTCGGGTCAGCACAACTGTCGACCGACCGGCAGATGCACGACAGCCCGGCCCGCCCGGTCGGGGAAACCATTGGCGTCGGTGTGCTACAGACACGTGAACCAACCTACAATGCACATTCCTTGAAACTTCATCGGCTTTCTCTTGCACTTCCCGGGGTTGAACAATCAAGTTGGTGTATCTGACTGTGTCAGGATTTGAACCGAAGTGGGCCCGTTGACCCCTCGCCTCAAGTACTTCAAATCAGACAGCGGTATAATGTACTGTCCAGGCCCACAACCATATGATAATTGTCATGTAGATAGCTCTCGTAGTCTCTTCTATTTCAGTTAATGGTGCCTCGTCTTGCTTTTGCTCTGTTGCCCCCCCCCCCCCCCAAACCTACAGCAGAATCCCACAATTTCAGCCCATCCTGATACCTCCCTTGACCTTGAAAGAACAAAAACAAGAGCATGTTGCTTCTACCGATCTTTGCCATAGTTGAGTGTCTCTTTTTAGAATTCAAAGTTAATCGAACGGGAATCTTAGTCATGTCTTGTTCCTTTGATAGTTGGTTATTGGGATCAAACCCAATCTCTCAGCACCCATGGCAAATTCTGAATTGATTGTTGACGCAGCGGGAGAAGAAGGCTTGCGAGCTCGATCGGGTCAACACCTTACTACCAACTATTTCGGTGCGCCAGATGAGACTGACAACAAACTGAAGGCAAATGATATAGCGGTCGGAGCTTTCGGAAATCCTAGACATAGAGACTTTACCGAGGCATTAGATCTCGATTATGATATAGTCGATCATCCCACTACCTCAAAAACTGAGATAATCGATCATCCCACTACCTCAAACACTGAGATAATCGATCATCCCACTACCTCAAAAACTGAGATAGTCGATCATCCCACTACCTCAAAAACTGAAGAAAGTAAATCAGAAATTGATTCAGGCACTCCACTCGAGACGCAAGCCATATCTGAAAGCGATGAATCCCATGTCAAGATCGATTTTCAAGATCTTAATCTTCTTGCACAAGTCATAGTTCTCATAGTAACAGCGTTTGTAGGGTTATTTAAACATTCAAATCATCCACTTCCTAAGTTTATACTCTTATATATCTTTGTTCTGCTTCCGATACTGGATCATATGGGGTTCTAGTGAAGCAAAGATTTGTCAAGGAAATAAAATCAACTTTCATCACCTAGGGTGAAGACCACACTGCCTTTTCATTTCGTAGTTTTTTATTTTACTGAATTGAATTGTTCTCAGTATCTTCAATCATCTACATATAAATAAACAAATAGGAGGAACCAGGCAGCCTCCTGTATATGTGCCTAACTGAAAGTTCAAGACTATACTGAAATTCCTACATTTATGGGAAGCCATTCATGCACATTCTATGCCTAGAGCACTCTGTAGATTTCAATCTACCCAACTGCCTGGCCACCTAAAACTGGCATTTTAAGTTTTCTTTTTCTGCCGAAATTCAATTTCCTCACTTGTTCTCATCTCTAGGGAGGTAGTGGTGTGCCAAATGAGCCAAAAAGAAACACATTTTGATGCCCCTCACTGCAAAATAAATTGTGTCAGATAGCTCTATCTGTGCTTATATCAGACATTTCCATGTGGGATTACATCAATTCAAATGTCTGATGTAATTTTCAAGCATTAAGTCAGACATTTAGACTGATGTAACATCACACAAAGATATTTGATATGATCACAGATACAGCCATCTGACACAATTTCTTTGCTGCACATACACCAAAATTGCATCAGATAGCTGTATCTATGATTATATCAGATATTTTTGTGTGATTTTAAATCAGTTGAAGTGTCTGATTCAATTTTTTTATATCAAATCAGGCACTCCAACTGATGTAACATCACATGA